ATGTCAAAAATTAGCCGGGCGTGGCAGCTCACGCCTGTAGTTCCAGCTACTTGGAAGGTTGAGGCGGAAGGATCGCCCAGCAGGTCAAGGCTGCGGTGGCCGAGAGTGGCCACTGCATTCCAGTCTGGGTGACAGAGCAAGACTCCAACTCAAAAAAAAAAGAAGCAAAGGTCGAAGACCACCTTTGAAGACAAATGAAGAATTCCTTTCGGAAAAACTCACAAATACCTGGGCTCCTTCCTCCTTCCTTTCCTTCCTCTCTTCCCTAAACCCATGACCCCACAATGGGAATGCAAGCAGACCCCTAACTGGAGACTGAAGACCACAACTCACAACCTCTACATGTTGCCCAGAGCGAGATCACAGAGCTTCTCACTGGACAGGCATTGAAGGGAAATGCTGACTGTCAACCCAGCTTAGCTGATGAGGAACTGACCTTTAGGGACATACCCAAAGCGGCCAGCGATTATGACAGGCTTAACACTTCCCTTGGCCACATGGCCTGGGAGCTCACCCCCACCCCGTGGCTGGTGTCCTCCTCAGGGGCTGTGGCAGCCAAATGTGTTCAATGAACCCAGCAGAGTGATAAACTATGTTTGTGTTAATACCTTTGATTCCAACCCCCCTCGCTGGGGGGTTGGTATTCTAGGCATCCTTTTGATGTACCACAAGTCCTTAATAAGAACAACTAAATGAACACACTGAGTTGAAGTCAGAAATATTCACAGAAGCCCGGGGACTTTGACCCCTTCTGCTCAGTGCTGGGCACCACTAGAAATATGTCACACATGCAACCTGAAAAAAAAGGTGAGGCAGGCCAGGTAGATCATAGAGGTGCCCTTGAGGTACAACTTTGGCTCCAGTTGGATTCGGCCAAGGTATGGTCCCAGCTAACGCCTAGTTATCAACACAAACATTTTCCAAAACAGTCCAGGTTTCCTGGGGCAGACGGCCCCGCACAGTTCCATTTGTTTACTCATGCGTGCTCTGGCTTGTCGAGAGGGCCATATTGTTCCTTGGCTGGGGAGGGACTCCAACAAACCCCCCACCAGGTCTTTCTAAGTCCCCCAGGACCAATGCTGGGCCAGCAGAAACTCCCAAGAGGGCCTACCCTGACGGACGGGGGGCCCAGGGGGTGGGAGGCGGTGGCCTTGCCCACTGTGGAGAGGGGAAGGGGAAATCATTCGCTTCTCTGCCGACCTATGCACGGCCTGGGGTTTCAAAACCAGTCTGGCCGACTGCCAGGCCCGGGGCGGGAACGGTGACTGACAGGCCGGTTATTGGAAAGCTCCCATCATTAGCCTAGGAACTTTGTTTGGTTACTATGGTGATCTTCACTACAAGCAGCCTGACTAAAGCCCAAGGAATTTGTTACCTAAAACCATGGCCCCATGGAGCCCGTGGCTTCAGGAAGGACGCTTATCAGTGGCCTGTTCCCCTTGACCCTGTATTCCCGCCCCTCCCTGGCCAGGCCTCCCAGCTGCCTCCCATGCCCAAAATGAGAAGAAAGGACCATAAAAGCCACTCCAAGCTCGCACGGGACTCTCACATGCCGTGGCTTGGCCCAGGCAAGGAGCTGCTGTTCCCAGAGGCCCCCTGCAGGCCTGGCTGTCTGGTCATCTGGCCTGGGACAGCCCGGCCAGCACATGTGTCCAGGGCTTAGTCAGAAGCCCACAGGATTTCAAGAAGCTGCTCGGGGTGTCTGGTTCCCACTGTGCGAGGTTCACACTGTCCCTGCAAGGGCCATCCGCCTCTGCCTCATCACGTTTCTGCCTCTTTAAACCCGAGCTCCACGGACTGAAGGTCAGCCCACAGCATGGAAATCAAGATCCTCTTCCCTTTGCTTTCTAATCCCTGAATTCAGAAGGTTTTTTAAAAGTTCAACTCTGCAAAAGCTGGATTTTTCTCTGGGAATCTAGAGATGTCGTACGGGAAGGGTGACCTCTTGTGCGGCCAAGGGACTTCAAAACCTCCCAGAGCATCTTGGCCTGCCTCTGTCAGGGCCTGGCCTCAGCCTCCCTCCTCCACCTCCTGGACTGCTGCTCTGGGGCCCAGGTTATAGCCTGCTGTCATCTGCAGCAGCCTCTGCTTCCCCTCCATGCCGCCACCTCACATATGGCTGTCCATGGGCTGCATGACTCTCTCTTGCCTGAGTCTCATAATGGATGTTGCGAGCAGAGAAAGATGGGGTAGATGTTGTCAGTCTCCTGGCAGATGAGGAAACTGAGGCAAGGAGAGGAGAGCAAGTTGTTGTAGGTGGCACACATCAGGGACCTCCTTGTGGCTCTCACACAAGGACCAGCTCACACGGGGTCCATCTACCCACTGGCCACCTCCCCTGTGGCAGGCCTCCCCAGAGCAGTGACACAGACAAAGCCTACACCCAATGGTGCCCACCAGTTTCTTCTATCAGGGAGGCAGCCCTGGGATCCCATGCCCTGATGGCTTCTTTAGAAAGGAAACACTTCGAACAGGCCTTAGACTCTGGGACAACCCTCCGTGAGGTGCCTTTAAGTGTCCCCTAGGATACAGACCTTGCTGGGGACAACGAGGTCAGGGTGAAGGGGGTTTGGCTTTTGTTGTTTTGCTGCAGCTATTTACTGGACTGGTTGTTTAATGAACTGCCTTGGCAACAGCTGGAGCCACACACGGCTTGTCCCCAATGCAGGGAGCAGCTGGGAAGCAGGGCGCAGTGTCAATCGAAGAGCAATGACATTTTTCAGCGATCCCTGACCCGTAATGGACTCAATGACATTTCCTGCTAATCCATGGGTTTCTGTTCTCTGAGATTTCATCTGTGGGGAACAGTATTGGCTTATTTGCAAAGAGATAGTGGTCATACTGCCAGAGCTGGGTGGTAGAAGGATTCCCCAGCCCCCTACCCTAGCTATATCTATATACATGGAGAGAGAGAGAGAAAAGGAGACAGAGAGAGAAGGGGGAGAAAGAGCAAGAGAGTGAGAGCGAGAGAGCAAGAGAGAGGGAGAGAGAGAGAGAGAAAAGGAGAGAGATAGGGACAGAGAGAGAGGGAACGGGAGTCAGGGCAGGGGGGAGAGAGAGAGAGAGAGAGAGAGAGAGCGAGAGAGAACACTAGCGCTTAAAACAACAGCTTTTTTCTCCCACGGCTCTGGGCTAGAGCCCTGTATTTTTTCCACTTGGTTGTGCAGCCTTCTGGGGCCAGCTCAGATCACAGCAGAGGCCAGGACTCTGGTCCTGGAGGTGAGGGGCTAAGGTGGCTGAGCGAGCACGGACAACCTGCTGCTGCTTCCTCTACCCCTCTGGCTCCTGGAGGGGCAGACTTGGAAAAGTGGGATGGGACATGCAGAATTCCCCACACTCCACACACAATGCTCTACAGTGACAGGGAACAGATAGCCCGGGGAAGATCTGAGACAGGGCACAGCCATCCTCCTGCCCACAGACGAACAGCACAATCTGCACGAAGATCTTTGACCTTTTGGGGGCTCAGGCCCCCTCGGAGAATCTGCTGAATGCCGTCTCCATGGATACATGCATGCACAAAATGTCACAGTTCAGGTCCAGGGGTTCTTGGAAGCCCAGATGACCACCCATAGGCTTCCTGGGGGAGTCACCAACCTCAAGGCAACACCCCCCCCCAAGGCACCATCAGTGAATGGAGAGCTCCTGGTGAAGGAGTAAGCACTGGAGTGCAGGTGGGAGGGGGGAGCAGGTGAGGAAGGCATGTGGGGGACAGGGCAGGGAGGAGGACGGCTTTCCAGCCCAGCCAAGAGCCCAAGAAGATGGAGGCTGAAGGGAGGCAGGAGGCACCCCAGGGTGAGTCTAGGAAGCTGAGCGGGACCTGGAGTGTGTACCTCACGCCCTGGACAGACCCCATTCCCTGCCCCCACCTCAGAGAGCTCGGGTTGTGGATTTTAGAAAAGGGAGTTGACCTCCCACACCAGGCTAGGGGCGGTGCTTTGGCCTGGCAGAAAGCAGCAGCTCAGGAGGTGGGAAGAGACGCTGAGCAGGGGGACTCCAGGTGCTGGAGAGGAAAGGCCTCCTTGGCTAGAGCCAGGCCAAGGGGGGCCCGAGACAGCAGATGCAAACCCCCTCCTCTGCTCCATCAGAACAGTGCTGCCCTCACCCACTTTGCACTGTCTCCACGTTCAATTTCATTTGGGAAAACGACTAGCTGACAAAATGAGTCTGATGTCGAGCTGAGGGGGTTCCCTGTTTCTTCTGTGATACACACTCAGGCCCAGAGTAGTCGAGCCGCCCCTTCCCTCACCCGAGGATTCTTAGCCTTTTGGCTTGACTGTTTCTCCCAGTATCACCTGCCCCTGGGTGGAGGAGGGCAGAAATAAAAGATGATCCCCCGGTTTCCGCCCACAGCAGCGCACTCTCTTGCCTCCGTCGTACAGCATGGCTTCGTTCCCAGTGTCCTTGGTGGGTGACAGAAGTCCTCTGTATATAGGTGGGAGTGGAAGGCCTAGTCCTGCCCCACCCACTACCACCTGAGCCAAGTGCAACTCTGAAAGAGGGACGTCTGGCAGATGCAGGATAAGGGGGCCGTGAAGGAACAGGACCACTCTGGAGGAAGATAACCCTTGTCCCCAACTGCCGGCAAACAGGAGGCAGGGGGATGACTCCCTTGGCCTCAGCCAGCTCAACCCTTGTTAGAATCCCTTCCCTGGCTGGCTGCCTGGGGCTACGATTCAGTCACACAAGTTGGGGTTCTCCTCAGGCTCAAGCCGAGCCCAGGGCAGGTGGAAGCAGCCCATGCACGTGTGTTCAAGCACGGTCCCTCTTGGGGTCCATGAAGCCCCCACCCTGTGGAGGCAAGAAGCAGCACAGGCGCCCCCACCTGGCACCTCCTGGCTCAGAACACCTGGCCGTCCACTGACCCTCGCCACCAAGGAGTGTGTGCATATAGTGGGTGCTTTGTGTGTCGGCTGGTACATGGCAGGGCAGGTGTGCATGGACACTTGTGGCAGTGGCCGACCCTCCCCGCGACCTGGAGTATATCCCCAGGGACTCACTTGAAGTTCTCAGGGTGCTCGGTGATGGCCATGTTGACGACGTCCAGGGCGTGCTGGTGGTGCTTCTGGGCAGAGAAGAGCAATGCCAGCAGGTGGAGGGCATGGGCATCATCCCTGCACACTTTCAGGGCTTCCTGCAGCTGCTCCATGGCACTGGAGATCTGCCGAAAGAACCCGCCGGCTTAGTGCCTTTCCCTGGGCACACGCTGCCCTGGGACTTGGGTGCCGGGTGCCAGGCAGGGAGGGTGCCCAGGTTCCACTCAAGAGAGGCACAGGCAGCTGGGGCAGGGAGGCTGCTGTGGGAAAACACATCCAGCTGGGCATGGTGGCTCACACCTGTAATCCCAGTGATTTGGGAGGTGGAGGTGAGAGGATTGCCTAAGTCCAGGGGTTCGAGATCACCCTGGGCAGCTTAGCAAGACCTGAGCTCTACATTAAATCAAAAAAATTAGCCGGGCATGGTGGTGTGCACCTGTGGTTCCAGTTACTTGGAAGGCTGAGGCGAGAAGGATCGCCTGAGCCCAGCAGGTTGAGGCTGTGGTGGCCATGAGCATGCCACTGCACTCCAGTCTGGGTAACAGAGTGAGATAATGACTCAAAAAAAAAGAAAAAGAAAAAGAAAACACATCCCCAGACAGCCTGGCAAGGAGGGGTCTGCTGTCCCTTCAGGAACAAGGGAGCAGGTTGACACGCAGCATGAAGGACTGGGGCAGATGCTGGGAAGCACTTCCCAAAGGGGAGAAATAGGAGTTGCAGAGAGAGGCAGTCATGAGCAGAAACGCTTTCCTGAACCTCTGCTATTAAGGTCAGGAGAGTCCTGCCCTCAAGAAAGAGGTGACAAAAAGGAGGTGCTCCAGGCAGAGGGTGCAGCTTGCCCACATGCCAGGAGGCATGAAGAGGTGGGTGCCTGGAAGACAGGGAACCGGGCCTCTGACACGTACCACAGGGTCCTGCCCAGATTCTCATCTTGTGTTTGCCTTCAATTCAATACATAATTATTAAGCCTGATTCTACACAAAAGAGGTGAGACCGAACAGGGAGGAGGAGGCCAGATCACATGGGGTCAGGAGAGCCTCCCCTGGAGGGTCTGGACGTGTTTGTGGCCTCTAGAAAGCTTTCCTTCTGTGTGGTGGAGTTCATGGCCATGGGTGGAGACCAGAGACCACTGTGGGTTCCGAGTTTCACTAGCTTGGGTTTGCTGCCTCCTTTCTTGGAGGCCCGGGCTGATCTGACAGCCCAAGCAGGGAGCCCAGGAGGGACGGGTGCAGCGGGGAAGGGCACCTCCTACTGCTTTCACCAACACCTGCCAGCCTTGCAGGGTTGGACTCTGGCGCCCTACCGTATCTGGCCTCTGAGGGCACTGGCAATTTGCAGTTGTGGCCAAGGCCCCACCTGCAAGTGGTATCAGGATAACCGGGTCTATCAACTCCCCATTGTGTCCTACAAGGAGACTGTTTCAGGGCTGAGACCACACACTGGCCTGCTGCCTGCCACCATGCCAGGAAGTGTCCCCACCCATTCCTGGAGTCAGGGGAGGATGTGGAGATTTCAAGGAGCTCCCCTTCCTGAAAAGACCATTCTTAGCACAACACCCCCCAGGAGGGGTCCCAAGGCTGCCTCGAATGCAAGAGACACTGATGGCCCTTTCCTCTCCTCTGGTTCCCCCTCTTAGCATCTCCACCTACCTACTGTTCAGTGGGTGCTTACTCAGCGGGAGGTCACTACTCTCAGAGAGAAAAGCTCCCCACACCATGTGCCCTGGCCTGCACACCCCAGCAGGGTCTGGGAAAAGTTTCCACACACTTTAGGAGTAAAAAGAATTCTGGCAGTCATCAATGTAAACACTCTTCTTCAAAAGAGGCTGGCCAGGCCTGATGACTGCAGTAGCTCCTTACACAGTCCTGTGTGACCTACCAGAGGCCCTCTGTGCCCATTTAGGTAGTCACCTCACCTTCCACCGCATATACCCAGAGCCTTCGGCCTGTGCACCCTGCTTGGCACCCCCGCACCGTGCCCCGCCTGGCAGCACCGGGCTGCTGCCAGCCTTCTGAACGAACAGATCCTGTCTGTTCTGGCCAGGGGGGGTTCTGGATTTGTGAATTCACAAGAGCTGGGTTCTAGAGTCACTGCTGCTCACTAGCCTTTGTCCGGTGCTCCCACCTCTCTGAATTCAGTTTCCTTATCTGCAAAGCAGGCATATGCTTTACCGCAGAAGGGTTCCAAGAGCTTGCTTAAAGGGGAAGGAAAATGTTGTTCCTTCCATGATTTCAAACAGTTGCGCCCTGAGAAGCCCAGCAGAGCAGGCGCTCCCAGATGGGGGTCTTGACTCCAGGCCAGTACTTCTCCGTGGGGCCTCATAGGCTCCTAAGCCTCTGCTGTGTGAGTAAGAGTCCTGGCTTTCAAGCCTGTCTCAGGTCAAGACCCGTTTCTCTTCACTCTGTGGGTTGCAGGGTATGGTGGGGCCTAGCTAACCATCTCCTCCTTTTCCCCTGATTCCTAGAGTCTCCAACCTGGCCCGGTTCCCCAGGATGCACGGGGCTCCTCTCCCACACACACGGCGGCTTCATCAAGCAGCGCCCTCAGCTTGAGGCTCTGCACCCTGCAAAATGGCGCCATCTCCTCCCTGGCCTCTCCTCAGTCATCGGGCCCTTGGCAGGTTGCAGGCTGTGACCCGGTATGGAAAGAGTGAGGGTTGGGAGAGAAACGTGCCACAGGCTGCAGGCCTGGTCCTGGGACAAACACTCCACCAGCTACACGCCCAGGGCTGACTGACGAGGCCCCCTCCTCGGAACCTGTACACGCGGTGATGGGGAAAGACCAACTGATGTGTGGCTGACAGGTAAATGCCCCTGCCTGCTTCAAGGCTCTGGGGCCAGGTCTGGGCACTGCTCCTAGTTCTGCCACATCCTAGCTGGCACCTGAGGGCAAAGAGGACTCATCCCTCTGAGCTATGGAACGAGGGTAATGGTCAGACCTATTTCAGTGGCGATATGGATGAGACACTGTAGAAAAATGTCTCACAGAGCACCAGGGTAACAACCACTTGAAAGCATTTTAAGCCCCCAAGCTCAGGCAGCGATGGATAAGATAAGATTCTTCCTCCTTGCCTTGGGGCACCTGTTCCCTCATGCCTCGGGCCTGGGAGTTGTGGGAGCTCCTGTGACTCTATCCATGCCACGGCTCCATCCCCTCTGGACTCTGATGAGTCTCTTTTTTTTCAGCCTTGCTCCTTACCAAACCTCAGACATCAGCCCCCCATGCTCGTGGGGCCCTGGATCCGCAGTCTGCCTGGCCTCTGGTCTGGTCTCTAGCTTGGTTTCTGTGCAGCCTGTGGGCACTAGTGCCAGGCTCTGAGTTCTCCCAGGGGGACCTTACTTGGTGGACAGGTCAAGGAGAGGATGAGGAGGAAGCTGAGTGTGGCTACCGGCTTGGCCTGCCTGTGCCTCCCTGGGGGTGCTCCAGCCCTGATGATTTTGCCTGGGTAGGCCCCATTGTCCTGGAGGAAATATCCAAATGCAAAGCTGTCACTGCTCTGGGCAAGATGGTCCAGCCAAGGGGCCTCAGAAACTCTAGGACACTAGAGTCCATTCAGGATATCCTCAACTCCCTGAGGTTGCCAGGACCTGAGGTCATCTCCAAGGAGACTGGGCACCAGGCTCCCCTGGCCTAGCCCAGTCATCTCTGGGAAAAGGGACGCCATGCATCAGAGACGGGTGAATAACACAGCAGATTTTTAAAAATGCAACCCCTTGGCCAGGCGCGGTGGATCACGCCTATAATTTCAGCACTTTGGGAGGCCAAGGTGAGACAACTGCCTGAGCCCATGGGTTCAAGACCAGCCTGGGCAACTTGGCGAGACCTCATCTCTATAATAAATTTTAAAAAGTTAGCTGGGCATGGTGATGCGTGCCTGTAGTTCCAGCTACTTGAAAGGCGGAGGCGGAAGGATCGTCTGAGCCCAGCAGGTCGAGGCTGCAGTGGCCGTGAATGTGCCACTGTACTCCAGCCTGACAGAGTGAGACTCCAACTCAAAAAGAAAAAAAAGCGTCCCCAAGGCTTGATCATTAACTTGCTTGGCAAAAAAAGCAGCAGTTCTTTTACAGAAGGCTAAAAGAAAATGCTCTCAGGTATCTTTCCCTTGGTTTCTCAGGAGCAAAGTGAGGTTCCTGGAAAGAGGCACAGAAGTAGGTACCCAGTGCCTGGTCCAGGGCCTGGGTCAGGCATAAGGAGTAGGGGCTGGGATGGGGGCATAGTTTGGAGGTGAAGGAGGAGGGAGGGCATCACGGGGTGGGGGGTTGGTATAGGTGAAAGGGAGAGAAGCCGCGAACAACAGCGGGAACGACAGCCGGGCGGTAGGGGAGAAAAGGGCTGTGACCGAAGGACCTGGAGAGGGAGACAGAATGACTCAGAAAAAGAGTGACAAGTCAGGTCGGGACAGATGTGGGCGCTGGGACCAGTACGGAGGCGTAGATGAGGCAGGCAGCAGAACCAAGAACCCAGCCACCCAGGTGGCAGGAGACAGACAGCTCCCGAATTCTCTGCAGGAGGGACCTGGGGCTAAGATGACAATGACCAGCAAGACCAAGCTACCAGCCGCCGATCAGGCTTGCGGGGCTCCATCTCCAAATGGGTCAGGGGAGCATATACCTAGAGCCATACACCTGGTTCTTCTTCCCCAGGTGCATGTGGGCTGTGGATCAGACGACTGAGAGCCACACTGGTTCAGCCTCAGTTTCCTAAAGTACAGAATGGGGCCACATGGCCTACCTCCCCAGAAGGCAGGAATTCCCCAGGTTAGTGTGGGGGACACAGCAGCACCCCAATAGCCAGGGCGACCCTCCATCTGACCGTGAGCATGTGGGCTCCCGTGGGCTTGAGGAGAGCCGCACTGCAGGGCCAAAGGCTTGTCTGCTGTCCCCAGGCGATGTTGACGTCAGTACCACTGGGTCAAAGCCACCTGAGAGGTTGCATTTCAGAGGCCGTGCGTGTGCCCAGAGCACCAGCCAGCAGGCTGAGGAGCCACCGTTAAAGCAATGAAGACTGAGGGGTTGGGATGGAGGGAGTCCCCACACAAACCAACAGTTCTCTTGGCACCAACAGCCCTACTTGGGGGAAAAGGCAGGTCCACTTGGAGACTCATGGCGGGTGGTCCCAGTGGGGAGAGGGTGGTTAGTGGGTAGGAGGCCTCCATGGGGCCCCAGAGGCTAAGGCCTGATGGTGTGGTCAAGGAAAAGATGAGGGTGCAGGAGAAAGTTCACCCAGGCCGGGCTTGGTAATTCTAGCACTTTGGGAGGCAGAGCTGAGTGGATTACGTGAGCTCATGGGTTCGAGACCAGCCTGGGCAACTTGGAGAGACCTCGTGTCTACAATAAATAAAAAATTAGCCGGGCGTGGTAGCATGCGCCTATAGTTCTGGGCACTTGGAAGGCTGGGGCAGAGAGATGGCTGGAGCCCAGCAGGTCGATGCTGGGGTGGCCAGGAGCATGCTGCTGCACTCCAGCCTGGGCGGCGGAGTGAGATTCCAACTCAAAAAAAGAAAAAAGAAAAGAAAGCTCACTCAGCACCAGCTCCGTGTGCCAGTCACTAGGTGTCCCAAGATTTTTGGGGAAAGGTTGGCGGGAGATGAGGACACAAATACCTCATCTCCTCAACTTCTCAAGAGACTGGAAGTTTCTAGCAAGAGTGAGGGCAGAGAATGATCCCTTCCTGCTCCTGCCAGGGGCTGGGGCATTGCCCACAATATCTAACTTCACTCTCACCAAGCTCCTCTGAGGTGGGCACAAAGCCATTCGAATGGCAGATAAGGAACTGTGACAACCCACCTGTCGGACGAGAGCCAGCTGCAGGGAGACGTAGAGGATGACCTGGGGGTCACCAGGTGCCAGCTGCTGGGCTCTGTATGGGGAGAGGAAGTGACAAGTCAGTCTCCAAGGCCTGAGTGACCAGCGCATGACTTGGAAGCATGTTCCTTCTGTACTGGGCACTATGGGACAACACACTGGGGGATTCTGCCAGGTCCTGCCTTAGAGGGACACCCAGTGGGAGACCAAGGCTCAGGCAGAAGGTCACGGGTGGCCCAAAGCAGGGACTCTGAGAGGGCTGGCACAGCTGAAGTAGGGGCCACCTGGGAGGGTGGCACTGAGGTGATGGACCCCCGAAAAAGGGGCAAGAGGATGGGGGAAGACGGTGTGCATACATATCCCATGCAGACTGGCCCCTCTTCACCACAGGATGGAAGCTAACACCTCCCCGAGGGCGGAGGGCCGGGGAATGGCCTCTGGGCAAGAAACCTCAGGAATGGAGAGCAAGTAGGGAGGGAGAATAAAGCTCCTTACCAAGCCCCCCACTTCCTGGAGCTCTGAGGGGGCCAGGCAGGACTGGAAACTCCTCCCTCCCTGGACTGGGGAACAACTTGACCAAAGGGGGCTGGAGTGCCACACGCCCCAATGAAGTGGGCGTGAGGAGTCCAGGTTGGGCCCTCCCCAGCAGCACTGCCCCATCCGCGCTCCAGAGGGAACGAGATACGCTCGCGAGCTAGAGGGAGAAGGGAGGAGAGAAAGAGGGAGGAGGGAGACTGATGTGCGAACTGAGGGTCTGTGGTGGAGAAAAGGGATTGAGCAAGGAGGGACCCTAGGGAGGGTGGCCTTTGAGGGAGGGGCTTCCCTGCCTCTCTCCCCCTAGCCTAGGCTAGGGGTGGTGGGAGCGGAGGTTGGGGAGGGGCTGGAAGGAGGCAACCACCGTTTTTGAGCCCCTGCTCCGTGTAGGTCCCGATGCGAGATGCTTTTCCTGCTTTCTCTCATGTAATTCTCACAACGGCAATGGGTGACTATTCTCGATTTGGAGCCCTGAGCTGGGGAGGACAGGGCTGAGCCCTGGTGGCTGCCACAGCCCCGGCTCCTAATGGCAGCTGGGGCTCCACCAGTACTGAAGGTCTGGAGCAGAGAGCTGGGCTCAGCTGCCTGCCCAACCCCAAAAGCCTGTCCCTGCCTGCTGTGTACAGTGTCCTCGCCCACAAAATGGAGATAGAAAATCCTGCTCTGTTCACCTCAGAGGGTCTGAGGAGGAAATGCTTATCACTGTGCCTCCTTGTGCCATGGAAGGCAAGAGGGGCCCCTGCCATGGGTGGGCATTTCCTCACCTCTCCAGCGTCTGCAGTGCCTTCCGGTGCAACTCATCTTGCTTGGACTTCAAGGTAGCTACAGGAGATAGGACAGAGTCAAGCCATTAGGGGTCACTGAAGGGTGCCAGCTCTGCTCCCCTTGTCCCCAGGACACACAGTTCTGCAGAGAGGAGCCCCACCAGGGCCCTGCCTGGAAAACTTCAAACTCCAGCAACCAGGGACAACTGTCCCCAGGTTCAGACTTCCAGCAAGTTCCATGGCATGCCAGTTCCTTCTATTCCATTGCCTTTTCCACCACCTGGGCCACCTTGACCCTTTCAAAGGCCCATGCTGAGAAACATTCCATGAAACAGGCATCCCTCCCGGGAGGCCCAAGCCTCAAGAGAGAGGTCACCACCTCTGCCTGGCTATATACGAGCCTTTCCAGACTCCCTTACCCGTGAGGCTACTTGCTCTAGAACCCCAACCAGGGGCCTTTCTGGTAAAGTGCAGTGGGGGTAAATCCCCCCACAAAGCAGCAGGGCAACTGTTCTTAGCCTGGCTGTACACCGAACCTCCTGGGAAGCTATAACACAACTGTGGCCAGGCTCCACTCCAGACCAGGTCAGAATCCACCACTAGGGTCTGGACATTCATAGTGGTCAGAGCTCCCAGCTTAGAAAGCTTGGAAGGCAACTGCTGTTTGTGAAGAGTTAAAGGCACAAGAAGGGTGTTTTGGTCATAGTGACTTTGACACAGGGACTGATGACTCCCTCACCTGGCCAGTGTGGAAACCCAGGTGTTCCCTATGCAGGGCTCACTGAACACACTGTGACCGCTGCCACTCAAGAGCTGGGAGATGGCAACCCACCGGGCTCTCGCACATGGCTTCCTCCTCTGACACGCTGTGCAGGGGCCTGAGGCCAGAGCAGTCTCCCTGCACACGGCCCTGCTCCCAGGGGCAGGCACTCGGGGGAGGTGGGCACAGGCCGATTACTATTTCAGGTTTGTTCTGGGTGGGGGCCCCTCACGCCCTGTCCCTCAGGCTGCAAAAATACAAAGTGGGAGGCTGCCTAGTGGATGACGGGGAAACAGCGTGGCTGGGCTGGGGACAGGACGCGGGGCTTGGAACAGGAAGGAGTGGAGTCCATCAGCCAAGCACAAGTAGTTATTAAGCACCTGCTGTGTATGCAGCCCTTTGTGTGGAGGGGATTTAAAAGATCCCAGAAGGCTCAGCATGGGCTGAGCTGGGGCTGGGCCTTGAGGGATGGGAAGAACTGGGTCCATGAAAAGGAGAGAAGAGGGCATGTCTGAGAGTGGCGACAGTCTGAACAAAACAGCAGAAAAGGGACTGAGGGGCATGTGTGCACGTGTGTAAGTGGCACACATGGGCATCTATCCTAGAGGAATGCGTGGTGTCTACGGGGGCATGGAGGTGTGGGACACTGGCAGGGCAAGATGCCTGAAAACAGTAGAAAACGGACCAAGGGGCAAGTGCACATGTGTGTTCATGTGCACATGTGTACATGCATGCCTAAACATATGTGTTTATCCCAGAGGAGTTGCATGGTGGGGTCATGCGGGGGCACTGGTGGCGGGGGGCACTGGTAGGATAAGATGTCTCAGAGACAGTTAGGAGGGCTGAGCCATCCCCAAGCAGAGGCTTTCTGGGGCCTGGCACTCACCGTCGCTGGCCTGCAGGCTGTAGGTGAGACCCAGCGCCAGGTAGCCCTTGGGGAGGAACTCCCCAGCTTCCTCCCCAAGGCCAATCACCATCAAGGCAAAGCGCTCCGCCTCCTCCAGCTGCAAAGAGGAGAAGCAGAGGTCAAGGAACGGGTTGCTGCCCTGGGTACAGCAGGCAATTCACCAGCCCAGGGCACTGCTGGGCAACACAGACAGGAGCTGCAGCTCTTCACGTGTGAGCAGACCCACCAGAGAGGCCAGGCGACTTGTCGGAGGCCGTACAACCACCGGGTGGGTGGAAGGATCATGGTTTCCTCTACCCACAGGTGACACGCTGGACCTGTTCCCCGACCCAGGAGCCTTGCGCTCAAGGTCACAGGGCGCTGCCTCTCATGGGGAGAAGCTCCCTTGCCCCAGAGATCCAGCTCCCCACAGCTTGTTCTGCTGAGAGCGTGGACCCAAGACCAGGCCTGTCTGCCATTTCTTTCCTACTGTGCCCTCTGTAGGAGTCTGTGTCTGTGCCTGTCCTGCCCCAGAGAGGGGGGCAGGCAGGGATCTGGCGCTAGGCCTCGGGAATACGGGCCTTGCTGGAGTCACCAACCCTGTGAAGCAGGCAGGCTGCCACTCTGGTTCCATCTGTGAGCTCCCTTCCTCCCTGAGACATGAAGCTCAAACTTTCAGGGGAAAAACGCTCGGGGCTGTTTTTGTCCTAGGAGAAGCAGCGACTATTCCAGTTAGAAAGGGCCCAACTGGTACGGGTTAAACACGAGGTGGGACTCTATGGCAGTCAGGCAGGTTTAGGTGGCAGGGGACACCCCAGGACCTCAGCTGTGCCTGCTCACGGCACACTTGCCTCCAGGAAACGCCCCATCCCTCCACCCGACCCAGGAAATGCCATCTGCCCGCGTGCCTGGCGTGGCAGTGTGCCCAAGCTCATGTCCCTGAGAACACCTTCCCAGAGAGGGCAGGGACGATTCCTCCATCACTGAGATCGGTGCCGGCCCATGACAAGGGGTGAAACACATCACAGCAAACCCTCCAGTGCCACCCAGAGATCAGAGCCCCCTAACCACAGCATCTCCATTCAGAGGCTTGCAGAGTCCGTCAATCGCAGAATAGGATTCAAACCCAAGTTGGCTTCCGGTGCCAAAGCCAGTGCTGCCCCTGCCCCACTCCATCCCTGCTAAGCCCATTCCCCGCCCTGGCAGGAGAGAGGTAGCTTTGGGCATCTTGGGGTCTGATCACTGGCCACGGCTGGGAGCAGCGAGGGATGGTGGTATCTCCTTCCTTGGAGTTAGGAATTGGGATCCTGAGACAGAGGCCTTTAGCCATGGTGAGGTGAGCTGAGCTGAGCCCACCGATTGGGTGTGGTTATGATAAGCTACGTGCAAACAGAAAGATTGATGGAGAGAGAACCCAATGTGCAGAGAGGGAAAAATACCACCAAAGCACAGAGGAAGCAGAGTGAGCTACGTGATGTCCCTGAGAGAGATGGCGGGAGGGGCTGCCTGCCCGCCATGCCTGACTTATGCTGCCCAGGGCAGCACTCCAGCCTCCTCGTGGTTGAGCTCAAGCCTCCAGCCTGGACAGTGTGCCGCCTCCAGATGGGCAGGCTGGTCACGAGAAGGACGGGGGAGTCTAGGGAGCTGGCTTCTGCCTTTGGCACCATTAGGCCCAGGGACCCAGGGCTCGGGGAAGTGGTAGCTGGGGAAACCCCGCAGCTGCCTGCAGCTCGGCCTCAGCTGGCCAGGTGGGTCCAAGTCTGTGGATGTTAAGATCTGTCTTCTGGTCCACCTGGCCCAGCAGGACTCAAGAGGGCTAGAGGGGCCTGAAATCAGAGCCACGTGGAGAGAAGAGGCCCAAAGATAATCCCCAGACACGGGCTCTGTTCCCAGTTCTATACCCGACGCCCACAGGGCTTAAACAAGTCACTCAGTTTCTGTGTCCCAAAGGCCCTCACCTGCTGAATGAGGAGTGGGATCCCTCACTCCTCCCTCTCTTCTCCTTATAAACTTCCATGAGGCTTCTGCAGCCCCAAGTTCTGTGCTGGGTCTGGTTGGAGAGCAGACACAGGAGCGCAGATCCCGCAGGACCAGGCGACTCTTAGGTAAGGCTCCACTGTGTGGTGCTGACATGGGACTACGGGGACTCCGAGAGAGAGGCCATCACGTGGCTGGGGTTATCCAAGGAGGCCTCATGGCAGAGGTGGGACAGGAGGCAACGAGCAAGGGGTAAGTAAGCCACCAGCACCTTTTATCCTTTCTAAGCTCCCCTCTGCTGATGTGGCTCACCTCACACACCATCTCAATCATTATTATGCTCTATTTAAACAGGAGCAAGCTCCCTTATAAACCACCAAGCTCAAGTTATAAAAAGAATCAGCTGGGCATGGTGGCTCACGCCTATAATCCCAGCACTTTGGGAGGCAGAGGTGAGAGGATTGCTTGAGTCCAGGGGTTTGAGACCAGTCTGGGCAACTTGGTGAGACTTCATCTCGACAATAAATTAAAAAATTAGCCAGGCGTGGTGGCATTTGCCGGTGGTTCCAGCTACTTGGAAGAATGAGGCAGAAGGATCGCCTGAGTCCAGCAGGTTGAGGCTGTAGTGGCCATGAGTATGCCACTGCACTCTAGTCTGGGTGACAGAGTGGGACTCCAACTCAAAAAAAAAGTTATAAAAAAAAGAATCCAGCGGGGCGCGGTGGCTCAGCCTGTAATCTCAGCGCTTTGGGAGGTCAAGGTGAGAGGATTGCCTGAGCCCAGGGGTTTGAAACCAGCCTGGCCAACTTGGTAAGACCTCATCTCTACAATAAATCACAAAAACTAGCCGGGTGTGGTGGTGTGCATCTGTGGTTCCAGCTACTTGGAAGGCTGAGGTGGAAGCATCACCTAAGCCCAGCAGGTCGAGGCTGTGGTGGCCATGAGTGTGCCACTGCATTCCAGCCTGGGCAACAAGAGTGAGACTCCAACTCAAAAAAAAAAAAAAAAATCCGAGGCCAGGCATGGTGGCTCAGGCCTGTAATCCCAACACTTCAGGAGGCCGAGGCAGGAGGATCTCTTGAGCCCAAATTAGCTGGGTGTGATGTATGTGCCTGTGGTCCCAGTTACTTGGGAGGCTGAATCAGAAGGATCACTTGAGCTCAGGAGGTCAAGGCTGAGTTGAGCTGGGATTATACCAGTGCACTCCAGCCTGGACAACAGAGTGAGACCCTGACCAAAAAAAAAATAGAATCCAGACACCCACTGCACATCATGTGTATATATTCTTGCCATGGCCATGGCCTTCTACTCAGCAAATGCCAGCTTCTGCCTCCTATAGCCCATGCAGAGAGGGTACCAGGAACAAGGCTTGGTAAATATTGGTAAAGTATTTGCTCTTTAGTTCATACACATCCCATTCTGGAATCAGAGGGTTCATCATCCTTTAGCTTTAAAAAATGAAAACATACATCTAGAGCTTGTCTGACTTGTGATCCACTCTGACCCCCAGATCAATAGCCATCCTCAGCTAGTACCTGCCAACATTGTCATGTAGTTCAAAATGGTCCCTAAGCATGGTGTCAGTAGCTGGTATCAGGAGCTGCTCAGGAGCACAACGTAGCATTCCCCTACATGGTCAGCACTACTTTGATTTCTATTACCATACCACAAGGTAGCCTTTTTGCACATGGAGTCACTGCAGTGATTATGAAGGAAAAGAAGTCTTATCAATTCTATAAAGTATAACAATATACCATCCACAAAACACAGTATTAATATACGTGGGTGCTCTAAGCAGTCAGTGAAGGGAGAGAATGTTGTCATAGCAAAAAAAAGAAAAAAAGAAAACCCAAAAAACAACAACAAAAAGAACAAATACCTTGTTAATGCACCATTCCCTTCCTCTGAGACGGGAGTGAGATACTACAGCCCTTGGGACTCTGGCTCTGCCACCTCTCTTCTGAAGTACCGTATTCCCACTCAACTCCACAGCCAGCTCAACACCTGAGTTGGTTCCCCACACAGGGTCTGGGCAGCCCAGCAGCTCAGAACATAAGCTCTGGGGCCACACACCCCGGGTCCAAGTCCAGGCGAGGCCACTTACTGACCTCGGGTAAGTACCTCATTTTCTGAGCCTGCTTCCCCCTTCTGTAAAGTGGGACAATAACAGTGTCTCCCTCATAAGCGTGCTGGGAGAACTCGGGAGACGAGATGTGGTGAGCACTCGGCAGTTCTCGAGAGAGGTGCACTCTTAGCAGTGGAGGTGCAAATTACACGTTAATACCAACTATAAGTGTGTATATTGATTATGTATGTATATAAAAATGTATGAATTACAACTAATCTGCTATAAATAAAGTTAGTTTAAGATTCCAGGGTGTTTTTGTTTTATTTTATTTTGTATTAAGTCGGAGTCTCACTCCGTTGCCCAGGCTGGAGTGCAGTGGCACACTCATGGCCACCCCAGTGTTGACCTGCTGGGCTCAGGTGATTTTTCCACCTCAGTCTTCCAAGTAACCGGAACTACAGGCATGCACTATCATGCCTGGCAATTTTTAAAAATTTACTGTAGAGACGAGGTCTCACCAAGTTGCCCGGGCTGTCCTTGAAACTGTGGGTTCAGGAAGTCCTCTCACCTCGGCCTTCCAAAGTGCTGGTATTACAGGCTTAAGCCACTGTGCCCGGCCCCAGGGTGTTTTTAAAGTCTCAGCCTAATGTGGTAAGTGTCATTTGAGTAGAGTCCCTGTACTCCTGTAGCTACATGAACTGACAAATTAGAAAGTGGCATCAGAGGTAGACACTAATGCCTGGCTTTTGTCTCTAGGCCTGACCCTTCGTCACAGAAAAGGAGTGACTCGATACAGGGACAAACTGGTGTCCCCACAGCCCTGTGCATTATGCTGCACTGGGGCGTTCAACCTCTCCGAGACACTCAGGCACATAAACACTGGACCTATCTTTCGCCACAAGACCCGCCCCGACTATGGGTAATATACCTGAGTATTTCCTATCCTCCTCTCTGTCTATTTCAATTTTTTTTTATGAGTTCTATTTAACGGCCTACTAATGGGCCTGCACCCTTGGCCTGGACATTGCTCTTTTCAGACATTTGCAAGAGGCCCAGTACCCGCCTTCCACTCT